GGAAATGTAAAAGTTAGAGTGAAGAATGGGAAGACTGTTCTGATCAAGGATATTTGGTATATTCCTGTAATTAAGAGAAATCTGATGAGTGTGGGTCAGCTCATTGAGAAAGGTTTCTCAGTCATTATGAAGAACAATCTCTTGAAGTTGTATGATTCCAATCAGAAGCTGATTATGCAATCTGAAGAGGGAAGCAACAAAACATTCAAGGTGAATATGGAGATAGCTGAAATAGAATGCCTTAGTACAGAAGACGCTGAAGGTGATAGTAACTTGTGACACAAGAGGTTGGGGCATCTAAACTATAGAAGTTTAGGGCATCTAAGTTCCAAGAAGATCGTGCATGGTATTTCGAAGATTGTGAAGCCTGAGAAGTCATGTGGGGTATGCATGAAAGGCAAGCAACCTAGATTTCCATTTTTGTCTGAAGTAGCCCCAAGAGAAAAAACATGTTTTGGGAGTAACGCATTCTGACGTGTGTGGACCATTTCCAGAACCTTCACTTGGAGGAAATAGGTATTTTGTGTCTTTAGTGGATGAGCTCACAAGAATGACGTGGGTAACACTTATCAAGTTTAAACATGAGGTGTTTAACAAGTTCCAGAAGTTCAAGGTGAAGGCTGAGAAAGAAAGTAGTTAAAAACTAAATATTCTCAGAACGGATGGTGGAGGTGAGTATAACTCTACAGAATTCCAGAAGTTCGGTGGTGACTCTTGCTAACCGCAAAATTTGCGATCAAACGCAAAACAACCAAGTCAGTTCTCCCACCGTACCACACATGTTATCATTGTAACGGAAGAGGCCACATATAGAATATTTATCCAACAAGGAGAGTCATTGTTGTTATGAAATAAATAGAGGAAGATGAATAAAGAGAAGATCCTAGAGTTGAGAATGATGAATATGTTGGTTGAGTTCGTAGAGGAAGAATCTTATGATAGTGTAAATTTTGTGTTGCGTAGAATTTTACTAGCATCCAAAGATAAATGGAAACACAAGAATTTGTTCAAAATAGATTGTTTTATAAAGAACAAAGTGTATAATATGATCGTGGATAATAACAACACTGAGAATCTAGTGTCGCGGAAATTGGTAGATTATTTAAAGTTTTCCGTAGAACCCTATGAGAAGCCATGCACCCTCGGTTGGGTAAGCAAGGGCTCCCAAGTTTGTGTAACACTAGCCTGCAAAGTTCTTATCTCCATTAGAAAATATTACAGAGAATAAGTACTTTGTGATATTCTTGATATGGATGTTTATCATATTTTATTTGGTAGACCTTGGCAGTTTGAAAATGATTTCAGTTATTAAGGATATAATAATGTAATGATGTTTATATGGGACACACATAAAATTGTTATGGCTCCTATTTTTCACTTTGATAAGAATCCAGGAGGAAATAACTCTAGTTTATTGGCGATGACATAAAGTGAAAAGGAGTTTGATGAGGATGTAAAATAAACTAAATGTTTCTGTCTAGTGGTGATCAAATGGTTGATGAATGTTGTAAAGGAGGAAACAACAATTCGAAATAAGTGCTAGAGATCCTTCAGAATTTCAAAGAGTTGACTACAGAGAAATTACAAAATGATTTACCTCCCATGTAAGATATTCTACATCAGATTAACCTTATCTTTGGGTCTAACTTACCAAACCTTCCTCACTATCGTATGAGCTCTAAGGAGAATGAGATTTTAAGGGAGAAGATTGAAGATTTGTTGAAGAAGGGATTTATTCGTGAGAGCCTAAGTATCTATGCAGTAGCAGTCCTTTTAATCCCTAAGAAAGGAAATCAGTGGCAAATATATGTTGACAACCGATCCATTAATAAGATAACTATCAAGTATTGATTCCCAATTCCCTGTTTGGAAGACATGCTTGACGATTTAGTCAGTTCTAAGGTGTTCTCGAAGATAGATTTGCATAGTGGATATCATCAAATCAGAATCAGACCTGAAGATGAATGGAAAACAACTTTCAATATGAAAATAGATTGTATAAGTGGTTTGAGATTCCCTTTGGTTTGTCAAACGCCTCTAGCACCTTCATGCGGTTAATGAATCAAGTTAGGCGCCCATTTACTGGTTTTCTTGTAGTGGTTTCTTTTGATGATATTATGATTTACAGTAATACCAAGACAGAGCATGTGCAGCATGTAAGGAAAGTGTTGCAAGTCTTACATGAGAACCAGGTGTACATTAATTTGAAAAAATGCACATTTAGCACCAACAAGTTACTTTTCCTAGGCTTTGTTGTTGGTGAGGAAGGCATTCAGGATGATGAAGATAAGGTGGGTGCTATAAGGGAGTGGCCTACACCCAAATTGGTGATTATGTTTGTAGTTTTCATGGCCTGTCCACCTTTTGTAGGAGGTTTATCAAAGATTTCAGTACTATCATTGCAACTATTATTGAATTTTTAAAGAAAGGGAAGTTCATTTGGGGGTTTATGCAAGAGCAGGGTTTTGCACTGATTAATGATAAGCTATGTGCCACACTGGTATTAGCACTTCCCAATTTTCACAGAGTGTTGCTAGTGGAGTGGGAATAGGAGTTGTGTTATCTCAAGAGAAGAAATCAGTGGCCTTTTTTAGCGAAAAATTAAGCGATGCTTGCCAAAAATTGAATACTTATGATCATGAATTATATGCACTCTTTAGAGATCTACACTAGTGGGAACACTATTTGGTTCAAAAGGAGTTCATTTTATTCACAGACCATCAAGATTTGGAGTTTCTTCATAGCCAGAAGGTAATAAACAAGATGCATGCTCAGTGGGTGAGTTTTTTTTCCAAAAATTTCCTTTCATTATTAAACATAAGTTCGGGGATTCTTAACAAGATAGCTAATGCATTGAGTAGGGGGTTTCCTTTCTAATTACCTTAACGTATGAGATAATAGGCTTTGAGTTCCTGAAAGAGTTTTATGAAAATGATGTTTACTTTAAGGAGTTATGGGCCAAGTGCACTGGAAAACATCCTTGGGCAGATTTTCACATTCGAGATGGCTATCTTTTTAAAGGGGATCGACTATGTATTCCTTGCTCCTCTTTAAGAGAGAAGTTAATTCGTGACCTGCATGGTGGTTGTCTTAGAGGTCGTATAGGTAGAGACAATGCCATTTCTATCCTGGAAGAGAGGTATTATTGGCCACACTTAAGGAGGGATGTTGATGCTATAGTCAAGAGGTGTTATACTTGTCATGTTTCTAAAGGTAAGTCTCAAAATATTGGTCTTTATATGCCTTTACCTATTCCTTGTGATATTTGGAAAAATTTAGTCAAAAAATTTATGTTAGGCTTGCCTTAGTTAGATCAAGGTGTAGATTTTGTGTTTGTGGTAGTAGATAGATTCTCCAAGATGACACATTTTATTGTCTGTAAGAAGATTGTTGATGCTTCCAACATAGCCAAACTATTTTTCATGGAGGTCGTGCGTATTCATGGGGTTCCTATATCCATTACTTTAGACATAGACACCCAATTTCTCATTCATTTATGGATTACTCTTTGGAGACTGTTTGGAACAACATTGAACATGAGTTCTACAACTCATCCTCAAATATATGAGAAAATTGAGGTAAACTACAAAACTTTGATAAATATGATTGAGTTTTTGTGGGGACAAGCCAAAATAGTGGGATTTAGTTTTGCCCTGGGTCGAATTTTCTTAAAACACTGGTGTGCATTCAACTATAGGAAATCACTATTCTCTCTAGTCTATACTTCAGTTCATAAGCATGTGGTTGATTTGATTAAGTTTCCTAAGGCGTCTAGAGTTAGTGCAGTTGCTGAAAATATGACCGAGGAAATGGTGGTTGTTAAAGAAGTTTCCAAGGCTAAGTTAGAGGCTATTGGACAGAAAAATAAAGCAATTGATGACAAACGTCGAAGAGTTAAAGTTTTCAATGTAGGAGACGATTGTGATGGTGTTTTTGCGCAAAGAGAGGTTCCCGATTAGTACTTACAGCAAGCTACAACCACACAAATATGGCCCGTTCAAAGTGACCAGAAAGATCAATGATAATGCTTATGTGGTAACCCTCCCAGAGTTCATGAATATATCAAATACTTTCAATATTGCTTACATTCATGAATATCATGCAGACGGGGTTCTTTGTCAAGAAGAGAACTCGAGATTGAGTTTTTCAGAGGTGGATGAGACTGATGTAAGAAGGATGATTGCAGGTATCGAGTAGGAAGTCGCGCGTCAGAAAGATTCTGTAAGAATTGTACAAGTTTGAGATGATAAAAATCTCTTTTAAATTAATCTATTTTAAATTAATCAAAAGTCTTGGATTTAAATTCAACTCTAAATATACCGTAGTGCTAAATTTGTTAAAAGAGAATTTTAAAAATTATTATAGTCTTTCTGGAATCGTGAGTTAGTCTCTAATATTCTTTTATAGAAATTAATTTCCTATATAAAAAAAAACATGCGAGAGATCTCCTTTTTTTCCTTAATTGTATTTTTTTATTATTTCAGATTTCCATAATATTCTCATTATTGTCAATCTCAAGTCTTAACTACTTACTGCTAAGTCTTAACTACTTACTGCTAATAAATGATAACCTTATTCTCATATGGTGTAAAGAAAACCTTATCCTGATATGATAAAGAAAACCTTATTTTCATATTAAACCATTCTATCTAAGCATAGATTTTAAAAATTCATCATAATCATGATGTGTTTCAATCAACTGCTTAGGAACCTTCATGAGATCTATCCTATTTATATTGTTAACTCAAAAAAAAAAAAATTATCATATACACATTATGTATATGATGAACATCTTACAAAACTAGCACACAGTAGTTGACTTAAATTAACACACTAATATTCTAAATATGAACAATGAAAAGGGCAAAGTGGTCCAATGACCTCCCTGACAGTAGTATAAAATCACAACATGAGTATTCATGTCTTCATGCATGCACACAGTACACACAACACATCTCAACATTTTTCACACCCCTCCCTTTCAAAAACAACATTCCTCAATGCAAATACTCTGCTTAACGGCACTGTTACTCTTCGCCATTACCTCCACCGTCAACTCATGCCTTCCATCGGAACTAGCCGCACTACAATCCTTCAAGTCATCACTCCGTGAACCTAACGTCGGTTTATTCAACTCATGGACCGGAACCGACTGCTGCCACAACTGGTTCGGCGTCTCCTGCGACGAAAACACTCGTCGCGTCGCCGACATTAACCTCCCCGCCGGTACTCTCTACACAACCTTCGAAAAAGCACACCGTCCTGGTTACATGACCGGTTCCATCTCCCCGGAAATTTGCAAACTAACTCAAATCTCCAGCATTACCATCACCGATTGGAAGGGTATCTCCGGCGAGATCCCCACTTGCATTACCTCACTCTCCTTCCTTCGAATCATCGACCTCGCCGGAAACCGTTTCTCCGGAAACATCCCAAACGACATCGGAAAACTCATCCATCTCAACCGATTAAGCCTCGCTGACAACTTATTCAGCGGCGGAATCCCAAGTTCGTTGATCAGTCTAACCAGTTTGACTCAGCTTGACATCCGTAATAACCGGGTCTCTGGATTCATCCCAACCGGCTTCGGTAAACTTCAGAATTTGAACCAGGCTTTATTAAGCGGTAATCAGTTTTACGGGCCTATCCCTGGCACAATTTCTCAGATCAACCGTCTTTCAGATCTCGATCTATCTCAAAACCGGTTAACCGGGCCTATTCCGGAGTCATTGGGCTTAATGTCTACACTAGGGACACTAAAGCTTGATACAAACAAGCTCTCCGGAACGATTCCGAAGAGTCTTTTGAGTTCAGGAATCAGTGACTTGAATTTGAGTCATAACATGTTGGAGGGAAATATACCTGATTTTGGTGCTAGGGCTTATTTTACTTCATTAGATTTCTCCTATAATAACCTTAAGAGTGCTATACCTGAATCTATAGCTTCGGCTTCTTACATTGGTTACATGGATTTGAGCCATAACCATCTCTGTGGTCCAATTCCTAACGCTATAGATTATTTTGAAGCATCGTCGTTTGAGTACAATGCGTGCCTTTGTGGAAAGCCACTCAATGCCTGCAAACTTAATTAATGTTTTGGTTATTAACTTCTTTTGTTTGTATTTTGAGATAGAAGGAATTTCTTATGTCATGCATGCATGCACATGCATGTGTATAATGTGTTACGGTGGTATATTTTGCAAGGAAGGAAGTAATAAAATGTTTTGTTTTGTTGTTTTTATTTTTCTTGTGTTCTGATTGTAATTAATACATGCATGTTACTTCCGACAGATTATGAGTGTATTTATTTTCAGCGCAACGAAACTAAAATAAATTGCTTCGAGGGTTGACCACACTTGCTTCAAAATTGAATTTGGCATGTCTGACATATTCATTACTCTTCCAAGACTTGTTGAAACAATCATGTGCGAAAATGTAGTTTTTTTTTCTAAAATAATGAAATGAGTTATGAGATGATCCTATTTTAATCTAGATACCAGAATATATGGCGGAGGAGATGAATGGATCAGAGATGGAAGACAGTGCACATGTGAAGTGGCAGTGAGAAACTGCTAATAGTACATGTTGTCGCAGCTGCATTTATTGAGAAGGAAGAGTATATCATGAAAGCAGATGCGACTTTTTCTTCTCTTACTCTATCATGGGTTCAATTGAATGGGTTGGAATTAATTCAATAATGATTTGGTATAAGATGCAAAAGTAGGAGTATGTGATTTCAGTCATACTTTATGTGTAGAAGAAAACAAACAAATAAGTTTATATATAATAAGGGGGCAACTTTTTTACCTATCCCAAAAAATTGAGTTGTGTATCTTTTATCAATCATATCATAGCATTTAATTTTATCATATTTAATTATTTATTAAATAATAATATATTTTTTTATTGTTTTGAAAACATTTTATTTTAAAGGTAATTTTATCCAACTTTTTATATTAGATAGATAAGAATTCACCATAATACATTAGATATTAAATTTATGATAAAAGAGTTGAGTACGAGTGCTCTCGAGTCGCCTAATTGTGGTTTAGATTGCTCGATTTGAACATATATCTATTGTCTAATCATCTTATCAATATGTGATAGATAAGGTATTTTGGAGAAGTCAGTTTAATCCTCTCAATAAAAAAGAAGTTGTCCCTCCAATTTAAGAGGAGGTAACGATCCTCCCCTACTCACACGTACTCGTTGAGAAGTTTGAGGAAAATCATTTCTCTCTACTTATCCGGTCCAGAAGATCATCTATAAATATTCCAACCTCTAAGGTTGGAGGAATCATTCATTAATTTCACATAATCACAGCATATTGTAGGGAAGGCAGAGTCATACCCTCTTGCAATCACATATGAACAAGGTTATCATCCTCATTGTATTTCACAAGTATACTTGACGTCCACCGTAGAGTCTCGGTAAAACTAACCTATATCACACACTCACCTTTAATTTTCAACTGCCTCATTCATCCTACTCAACATGGTGACACAACAAGGTGCTACAACATCTACCAAAACTAGCATCGAAGACCTTGAGATATTAGCAGATATGTGAGGTGTGCTATGGAAGATTTGCACCTCTCCAGTATCAAAAAATTTCAAACCACCATCACTGGTGAAGTTTGATGGAAAAAACAACCCTTATGAACGCATTGTCTCCATTAATACTCATATGACAGTCATAGGATCCTTTGACTCATTGAAGTGCAAGCCTTTGTCCAACTCTTTTAAGGAGGTGGCTCTGAGGTAGTTCATGAACCTCCTCGGCCTTTCAGTAGTTATCAGGTACTACTACAAATATTACTTTTTATGATGAAGCTTTCATCTCGAACGATAAAAAAATTGAAGATATAGGTACTGGGAGCCGTCATATTTTATTTATAAAAAAACAATCAATATTTTCCTTCGATTTTAGCAAAACCAACATAAATAGTTGCTTAGGGTTTGAATTTGGATTTCCAGCTCCTGCAATTTTATGTTTTATTTAGAACAAAAAAGGCTCCTTTATTTTTTTTATAGATTTTATGTCAGATATTATCCCTCGGTTTTTAAATAAACAAGATAAAAACTCTAATTTTTTATTCCTTTTGAAACCAAAAAGGCACCTTTATTTTTTATAGATTTACATGACGAAGCTAACACCTCAGACAACGAAAAAATAAGGGTATAGGTCCTGAGAGTGCCATGTTTAATTATTTTTTTTAATAAAAACATTAGACCTCGGATATTTAATAAGGCTGAAGGATAGTAGCAATAAGGGAACTCGCTTCGACACCCAGTTGCGGCATTTTATGGGTTTTTTTTCAATTGTTTAATTAGTATTTCTCACTCGGCGTCTTTCTAAATTCTATTTTTATTATTTTTATTTGTTCAATTAGTATTTACCTCGGTTACATGGTCCAAATGAGAAGTAATATATTTTGCATTAACAATTTCATAATGTGATACGGTGGGAGAACTGACTTGGTGTTGGCTGAAGATTTTGATAATATTATTAGAAGCAAAATGAATTGGACGTTTCGATTGAAATGAAACAAAACGTCATGTTTCGAAATAGCAGAAGCAGTGTTTCGAATGAGCATATCAAAGCTTGGAGCTTCGAGTGGCAATTATGAGAACATATCTAAAGAAGTCTCGAAATGACAACAAGTCTGTGTCTAAAGAAGTACGTTCAAAGCGAAGAAGTGCTAAAACATTTGAAATTCAAATGCAAGCGGGATGTTCGAAATTTGAAATATATGCGCTGGAGCATTCAAAGACACGTGGAAGTAAGAGAGAGGCATTGCTCTGCATGTTCTGAACGTGGCAGAATCTTATAGCAAGACCGTTATGGTCGAAGTGGTATAAATAGAAGTCTTAGCATTAGGATTTCGTGTGTCATATCTATTGTACAAAAAACTCAGTAAACATTCAAATTACCACATGGCTAGGGAAACGAATGCAAGAGCAATGTACGTATGATAGCACCACATGTTTATGATTTAATGAAAACCCTTTATCATTTCCAGTACTTTCCTTTGTCTTTGTATCAATACCATTTACAAGTTTTTTGCATCTAAAGTCTTTTTATTCGAAATATTTTCATTGATGCCTTACATTTAAATGCTTTCTTTACATTTCAAACACTTTACATTTCAGAAACTGTTATACATTTCATGCCTTTATCTTCAAGTTTTTATCCTTTGAACACCTTTTTACTTAAAGTCATCTTACAGATTTCTTGCATTAAACGCTTTCTTCATATTTCGAATCTTTTACATTAACTGTTTTGTTTTATGTTTCGAAATTATTTACCTGTCTTTTATGCAGTTTTTACATGTCTTTACAATTAACTTTTATTCATGCAATTTAGTTCCGCGCACATTTATTTTGATCATACCTTTAGATCTTTAAGAGAGAAATCGAAATAAGTCAAACACCTACACGACATTCTAAATACCAACCATGAATACCTGTTCGATCATGAGAGTTACCCTAATGACCAACACGTCCTAGGATCAATCTAGTCGATCCTGCGAGTTACCAGAGAAATTGAATAACAGTCAGTAAGTTTATTCGATAGTTTGGAAGACTAGCGGTTGTTTACCAGAAATCACTGGAAACAAATTGGCACACCCGGTGGGACCAATCGTTGGACATTACGGAATTTAGAACAGAAATAGAGATTGTTGAGACGTAACCATTATAAAAGACCCTCTGAGTGATAAGTTTGTTGTTTTATGAACCTAAGAAGTGGTAAAATAATCAACAGCAATCAACCCTTATCCAGAAGAAAACGTTTGGACAAGATGTCTAGTTCTGACAATCAACAAGGGGAACAAAATGCCCCACATACAACAGGCACTAATGTATCCGCTTCGATGGGAACATCTAATGTGATCCCTTCGAACGCACAGTCTGTTGCATCTTCAACCAGCAATATAGCCACTAATGGAATAAGTGGCATATCAACTAATAGTTCGATCTTAGGAAATACTGGAACCATTGGTTATCCTGGGGGATTTGTTCCACCATCAGGGACACAATCCCATTTCGCCACTCCACTAACCAGACCACCCGGTTTCGATAGTAATAGAACCAGAAATTCCTCTTATGGAATGCCAACATCTTTTATGGCAGGTTTACACAATTCCACATCGAATTCATCACCACAATTAGGGTCTGGGTCTGGGGCAAACCAGTTTATGACAAATAACCAAGGGTCAGTGGGTTATAGTACAATGCCTATTTTAACCACAGAAAACCAGTTGGCTTTTAGGCAACTGATGGATGATAGTAACCATAATATGATAGGGGTATTAGCACAAACTATGCAGGAAATATTTGCCCCAATAGTACAAAATGTGACTGTGACAAACAGAGAAAACGCTGATAACATGAGTCGAATAGCAAATTTCTTTGCTCCCCAGATAGGCGTAGGCAGAATCAGGCGGGAGTTCGAGCAAATATGCCTGTTATGGAACAAGTTGTTAACGACCCAATCTATAGACCACCTAGAGAAGAAGTTAACTTGGGGGCAGGGGCACAAAGGCTAGAAGCCCCAATGATCCCAGGCCCACAAAGAGAAATTATGGAACCAGGGGAAAGGGTCGAAAGGCTGGAAGTCCCAGAGTTTCGAGGAGAACAACCTAGGGGGGTTGTCATGGTGGGTCGAAATCAAGATGCTGATGCAGTCGTTCATAGAATTCGGAACGACAACATCTTGGCAGAAAACAATTTAACCACAATGATAGAGAGAGTCATGGCCCAGAATGGCCTCAACACAGGAATTAGAAGGCCAAATTATGCTTCTCCTATATTGGATTGCATAATGCATACTGATTTACCAAGGGGATATAAAGTCCCTAAATTTACAAAGTTCACTGGGGATACCAATGAGTCAACGGTCGAACACATAGCAAGATATCTAACCGAAGCGGGAGATATAGCCAATAATGAAGATCTCAGTATCAAATATTTCCCAAGTTCCTTGACTAAAAACGCCTTCACGTGGTTTACCACTTTGCCTCCTGGGTCCATTGATACCTGGGCTCTTTTGGAGAGATTATTCCATGAACAATTTTACATGGGACAGTCGA